GCTTAAATTTTAAGTAGTAACTGTGGTCTTCCCTTGAATATAGATCCACTTTATTACAAATTTATATAGATTTTTAAAAATATAGACTGGTATTTTTAATATCTACAATTAAGGTTATCTTGACCATGTCTGATATAAAGACTTATCAGCTGTTTTTGTATTTTCACCAATGAATACCAGAAATTAAGAACTCGATTCTGGTAGTTTTACACAATTTTTTTTTGTTGTTGTTGTTACTTTCTGTTTCAATAGAATGTATTTCATAAACACTTTAGTTCACTTCTGAATGTCACTTCATCATTATTCTGACCAGATGATAACCTATACTACATTACAAGAATTCTGTAGCACTTGCAGGTTTTTGCACACAAGACAGTTGTGGAAGTCCCCTGACTTCCCTAAAACATACATACAACAAACACTCTGCAGCACAAAATATTCTGACCCACCTCAAAAAAGCTCTGTTGTTTCAGGTTTTTTCCTAAAATTCTACACTTGGAAACTGATGTAGCTAGAGAGTGATTATGTGTAGAGAGAAAAAAAGGACCAAGCCAAGACATTAGCTTGAAAGACAAATATCACCATCAGATTCTACAGAAATGTGGAGAGGAGGAATCACTGGATTCATGGCTTCCTGCTAATTAATTCCTTTTCAAAGTTGGAATGGGGGTTGTGTGGGATTTTTCAGGTTTTTACTTTTTAAAAGAAGAAATATAGTAAGAAATATAATCAAAAGTTCATTCCTTATCTCTACAACTGGATATTAGTCAAAGAGAGCAAAGAAAGGAAAGAAAGCAAAGAAAGTAGTAATATAAAAGATAATTCATAAGACTTTAGTATTTTAACAAATATCAAAAAGCACAAGTTTTATCTAAGTGGTTATAATCCTTTAAGGAAGTTAAAAACCATTCAGTTGCACTGAATTATACAGTACTAAGAAACACACGTTACTTTGCTGGGCTGGATTTTAGTTGATCACACTAGCTTTTTAAGAAACCTTTTATAGTTTACAATTTCTCTACCAATGTATAGATATTTGCATTGCTTGATGAGTTGATAATTAAATTAATACAGTAGAGAGTCCTTCATATAGCTTGTTGCCAAAGTTGCAAGAGGCATGGGAGGGGTTCACATATTTTTGTTTTGTTTTTACTGCCAGCTGCCTTACTGCTGTGGTGTTTAAAGACAGTGCCAAATACGGGGTTTTAAAAGTTCTCCTATAATTATATCAGATAGAGAAAGGGCAAGGCATACTTTCACACTGAATCCTTCCTTATTCATTTAGAGCCTTGCTCAAACCTTGAGAAGTTTAACACCTTGCAGGAGTGCCTATCTAGCAAGGCCTGCACTGCTGTGGCCATACACACTCGTGCTCACGTTGTCATTCTTCCAGTAGACTCTATTTAGACAAAAAAGTAAAATGTTATTTGTTCTCAGGCATGGCATTAACCCCATGATTCCTAGGTTATCTAGTGACTTTTAAAAAGTTATTTAAATAATAATACTTATATCCTCACTGAGCACTGTTACCTTAATTGTTATGACTTGTTTGTTACATTTGCCTTGTTTCCTTAAAAATAGTAAGTATCCTAGCTGAAACACTAGAAGCTTATTGTTCCCCAGTTGTTTGACATATATGCAAGACAACAGACTTAAAAAAATTATCACTGTGATGCCTAAGATAAAATCTGTGTTGATCTTGAGCATGACAGTAGGATTTTAATTAAGGAAATGCATCCTGGAGACCAAGAAAGCCTCTCTGAATAGGTATACAAGACTGGATTCCTAAATATTTTTTTTTGTCCTTAGCTTCCTAGGCAACTATTTTCTATCCCCTCTCTGGTAGATACTTTCCACTAAAAATTCTCTACTCCAAAACCTTCCTTTCAGTCACAGTAGGTGTTTCCACCAACTTCATATCACTTCAGCAAAGTGACAGGAAGCTCTAACTCTTGGCATTAACTTTTCTCTAATGTCAATTAAAGGCAATCCAAAAACCAGTCATCACCTCTCTTACTTCTCACTTACTGTAGCATACTCACATGTGCTCTGACAAATCTTTTCACAAGAACTTCATACTTTCTAGGCATTCTTACAAATCAGAAAATTGCACTTTACAAGTGTCTCATTCCCTTTTTGAATGTCTTCAGTGACTTCCCTTTTCCCCTTTGTAAAGCAAAATCTTCGAGTCTTCACTTTATGATTCTCCTTACGCTACTAAACCAAGCCTTCTTATTCTTATATACTGTATTACTTTCCATTTCTGTTCTGTCAATATTACTTAATTTAATTGCTACTTCTTATATTTACAAAAAACCTCCACATTGTACTTCTGCCTCTCCTGCTTGCTACTTTTCAATAGGCAGACAACAACAGGATTCTTTGCTTTAGCATCATCCTCCAACTCTCACCATGGATGTCTTGACATCTTGAACAACTCATATAGTATAAGCCCTAGTAATATATTTGACATTACTGTCTTCTTATACCTTGCTCTGTGTTCTCTGATTTTCCCCAAGTACACATTTCTGTGCATGTACTGCTGTTATCCTGGATGAGCAAGGTAATCTAGCAACTGACCTAGCATGGGCTGATATGATATTGTGTTGTAAAAATGCATTTTGGCAAATCTCTAAGCCTGCTGTTCATTCGGTTTCTTCCCCTCTAAATTAGTTTGACATTTCTGGCAGCCACTCTATCTGTCTGAAACTATTTTGTATACACAACGAGGTATAATATCTGACATAAAGCATAGCTGCATAGCCTCATCTTCTTAGGCAGTAATTGCTGCTTTTCTAATTCAGGGTATACAGAGAGATCACACAGAAATTACATTATGAAAAAAAAAAATTATCTTGGACATGGAAAATTGCTTTATACTTAACACAGTTAAGTTTCTTGTTAAGGAAGGTTTGGTCACACGACAGTATATGAGCTGAAATCTGTCTTTTAATTAACCCATGCAAAGGTAGGTATTTGGGGCACTTTTCTAGCTTAATGAGTTTTCTACTCATTGTTCTTAGCAGAAGTTGGGGAAATGTATTAAGCTACATATAAAAATACATGTGCTGCATAAATGTGCTCGAATGCCCTCCTAAATGCATTCTCTGACAACCCATTCACAGGTGTGAGATCATTTATTTAGCTTATGTAGCAATTTGAACAGTGCCCTGTAGAGTATGAAGAGATGGTAACAAAACTGAAGCATTGGCTACATTTTGAAAAAATATTTTTGAATGAACAGGGTGATGTATGTCTGAGAGCAATCATATTCCTGCATCCTTTTAAAAAATGGATTAAAAGTACCTGAGAGTCACTTTTTGCTTTGATTTCACTGTGCTCAGTGCAAAACAGCAGAACATAAACTGTAGAAAAAAAGAAATGTAAGTAGACAGAGGGAAATGGAAGAGGAAAGGCCACAGCAGTAAAAAGAAAGCAAAAAAGACATTGAACTGCTAGCCAAAAGGTCTACTAGAAAACACTAAATGAAATCACATTCTGCACACAAATAACATGCAAATGTTAATACTCTTTTGGCATTGCACTGCTTAGCAGGGGGTCTGTGTGAAAGGTTTCATCTGAACAGCTTCAGCATCTGAGACATTATTTAGTATTATTGCTGTTTCTTAAATTTGAAGAGAAAGAGCAGATTACTTGTTCAGAATTACTTGTCTCTCGAAGCATGCAGATCAAACATTTATGGAGCCAATTTGTATGTTTCCTTGCTTGTGATTTCAAATAAAAGTTGTTTGCAAAATGTTTGAGTCTAGCTAACACAATGGATAACAAATCACTAAGGCAAGTGTTAGCACACCTTTCAGTGAAAAAATCATAAATGCAACATGTTTTAGTTTGACACTACCATTGAATAATGCAACATCTTTTTTAACTATCTCACATTTTCTCAAATGAGAATATCAGCTTCTCTCACACACAGAACAAGATACCTAAACTATATACTCAGTCTTCTGTAAGCTGGCCACTTAGAAAGATGGAGCCCTCATAGTATGTTACTGCCCATCGTGACAGGTCTTCCAACTTTTAATGTGAAGTCGGGTACTGTTTTTTCTTAGATTATCTGCAAATGTGGAACACTAAAATGCTAAAAATTTAAAGCCCTCATACTCCTATGAAAGCTTTCATGAAAATTGAAGGCAAGTCTCAAAAACAGTCAGTTTATGAGAGAAAAAAATATGTTATAACTACCCCTCCCCCCACGTCTCAAGTTTCAGCAAGAAGACCAAGAACTTAACTCTGGATTTCTAACAAGGTAAATGTCAACAAAGAGCTTTTTTTCTTTTGGCAACATTTTATTTTTTATGCATTTGGTCATATTACAAACGTGGGTTGGTAAAGGAATATGTTGTAACAAAGTTCTGAAGAGCTATAGTGAGCTGGTAGCAAATCCAGTGCTGTTAGAAGGAGCAGAGCACACACACCCCTCATAGCCAGGCGATCCTTGCTGGCTCCAGGGCTAAATCACAGACTCATCCTTCTATTACTACCTGCTGAATTTGGAGGATTGGTACATCCTGTTCTAGCTAGCAACACTGTCTCTGATTTCAAATATATTTTGCCAAGGTTCTGGGTATCGACGTGGAACCTTTTTTGCCATCCTGCAAGATATATAATCTAGATTCTTGAATGAAATAATGAAAAGAGTTCATTTAACTAACAAAAGCACAGTTCAAAGCCTTGACCTAGTTTACCACAGTACTTTTAAACAATTTCAACCTATGATACCCAGGATTATATTCAGCCAAGCTGATCTTTGGGAAACGGACTTGTAAGATTTGTTTTATGGAAACAGTGTTTGCACTTAAATCTTAAAGCATTCCAGTGTCTCTGAAGAGTCCAGATTGTTCTTAACATTCATGCCAAGTTATCAACAATTTAGAAAACAGTTGCCAAAGGTCATTCCAACTACAGCTGTTTGAAAACATAGAGGGGTTTATTGATCTTTTCCTTTGCATAGCACTTTAAAAAAATATTAACGTGTCATGGAAATAAAGACCATGACAGATGTTGATCATCAGTTGTTCAAAGGTTATGGGGTGGGTTGGAGGGAGGTGCTGGGGGAGGTAGAAGGGGAGTTTATCAGAATTGGGTTGAGGGTGAAAGACTCCACTGTAATGCTATCGTTAGGTCCCTATGTGGTAACACTGTTCTCATTGGGTGCCTTTGACCTGGCACTGTACTTGTCTCTCAACAAATGAGGGAAGCAGCTTCATCTGGTTGGGAAAGAGCTCATTAGGCATGGCAGTTTAGGTGGCACAAATTTCACAGCTGCAAAGCAATCTGGAGTTCTCCCAGAAGTACAGGTATCATATTCAAACAAATCGCTAATCCCAGAGGCCAGCTCTGACTGCTTTTATGAAGTACTATGAATCACGATCTTTAGGAAAACTAAATGGCTGCTATCCAATTTAGCAGCTGGATTATATTAGTTCACATTTTTGAGGACAAAGGTTACAATAACAAGATCTTGCCTTACTCAACTTATTCAATTAGGTAACATAGTTACCTTAATGGTTCTGTAACAGATTGCTGGTATTAGGAGTGATATAATTTGTTTCTTCTAGGTAACACCGAAGAAGAAGAGTGTTCCGTACATGAGGGTAGCCTAGCAGAGAGCAGGCGGCTGGGATAAGAGACCTGGCAAGGAAAAATGACAACAGACATTAATGATAGAGATGGGAGTCTGAATACTTCAGAGCCTTGAAAGCACAAGCACAAAAAATTAAACCTGATACACCAGGGAAAAGAAAACAGAGAACCCGAAAAACAAGTGTGTGTCTTAATACACATACACACATATATGATGCATATATATTTATAGAGCTTAGGACTGGAACAATGGATTTTTCCCAACTATCCAACACTCCACAACATTGTATTTTTCATGGGATAGCACTTGTGAATCTCCTAAAAGGTTAACGATTGTTCTTATTTCTATTGTACCATGATACACAAAATCATAGAATACCTGGGGTTTGAAAGGACCTCTGAAGTTCACCTAGTTCAACCCCCCTAATATATCTAATATCTTAGTACTGATAATTTTTTGTTACATATAATTCACATTATGTAGCATAATTTGGTTTATAAGCTGTGAAACCTGTTAAACATTTTTTTAAGGTATAAGCTATCTTATCTACAGACCTGAATATATCTAGAAAGCAGTTATCTTGACATGTCTAATATCTATAATGTTTAACAGCTGCTCTTTCGTGCAGACAGATTCCACTTACTGGCAGAAGGAGAGGGAGCAGGCTGGTGGGGCGTTCTGAAGTGTGAAAAAAGGCTGCATGTTTGTTTGTTTTTGAGACCGAACTTTTTCAGTTCCTCACGCTGCTGCTCATACAACTTGGGCCAACCAAAACGCACACAACCTGAGGACCTGCCAAGAGCCCTTATCAAAGCTCGTAGACCTTTCTCACGCGATTTACGGAGGCGCTAAGGCTCCTCCCCTCTCTCCTGAGGGGAGCGGCAGCTGCCCTGGGACCCCTTCCCCAGGGAACGCCGGAAGGGAGCTCATCCTCGCAGGAAAGCTCAGGGGATGAAGCGGGGATGAAGTTGGTCTGCTCTTTGGCCCGTGACCTGCGGGGTTCATCCAGGCACTGCGGAGAGTGATTCAATGACCTACTCCACCCG